GGGGGGGGGGAGGGTCACGGGCATGCTCGCGAATACTAGAAATGGACTCCTTTCTTCCCCGGCATTCTTCTGACGGGTTCCGCGCACACTCTGGTGGGGGGGGGAGCGTGCGCGCGCGGCGGGCGGTTGCCTGTTGCTACCGCGCTCGGCGCGGGTGGATGCCGCGGAACGCCACTGCACAGTAGTAAGCGGAGGGAGGGGAAGAGGAGGAGGAGGAGGAGGAGGAGGAGGAGGAGGAACAGGAGGAGGAGGAGGAGGAGGAGGAAGAGGAGCAGCAGGAGGAGGAGGAGGAGGAGGAGGCGGAGGAGGGGGGATGGAGGAGGAGGAAGAGGAGCAGCAGGAGGAGGAGGAGGAGGAGGAGGAGGAGGAGGAGGAGGAGAAGGAGGGGGGGAGGAGGAGGGAGGAGGAGCAGGAGGTGGAAGGGGTGCCAGGGCCGGGCAGCATGCAGGCGGCACCCCGATCTCGTGTCGTGCCTCGTCCGCCCGCCCCCGGGCTGCCGCTGCGAGGGACGGCGGACGACCCCCTGGGCCTGAAGAGGAGCAGGCGGGCGGCCGCCCGGGACGGCTCGAGGTCACAGGCGGCCCGCACGGCCGCCCGCCGCACCGCTCGAGAAGGTCGTCGTCGTCGTCGTCGTCGTCGTCGTCGTCGTCGTCGTCGTCGTCGTCGTCCCCGTCGTCCCCGTCGTCCCCGTCGTCGTCCCCGTCGTCGTCGCCGTCGTCGTCGCCGTCGTCGTCTTCGTCGTCGCCGCCGCCGTCACCGTAGTCTTCGTCGTCGTGGTCGTCGTCGTCGTCGTTGCCGCCGCCGCCGTCATCGTCGTCGTCGTCGTCGTCGTCGTCGTCGTGAGCGGGAGGCCCAGGGGGCCACGAGAGTTGCGGGGGGAGGAGGCGTCCCACGATGGGCCCAGGGGGCCCTGTGTGGCGTTTCCCCTCTCCCCTCGCTTTGGACCTCTGCCCGTCCCCGTGATGCAGCCGCCCCGTCCCCGGGATGCAGCCGTTTGAGGCTTGGGCCCGATGCGCCGTTCTGAGCGCCTCCGCTGCCTGGAAAAGAGAGGATTCGCCCTCACGCGCTTGGACACTTGAGCCCTCCACGTCCATGCGTCGATGATGAAGGTGGGGTAGAAGGGGGGTGGAATACTGGTGGGAGATGTTGCGGTATGAGCTTCACGAAAGCCTTGGGGCACCTCGCCCGCAGTCATCGACCTCGTCGTCATCGTCGCGTTCGTTGTCCTTATCGCCCTCGTCGTCGTCGTCGTTCTCGCCGCCCTCGTCGTCACCTCCGTGGATGTCGTAGAGGAGGCTCGAACGCTCCTTAGCATGCACTGTGCATGGGTAGACTTGTTCGGCTCTGGGGTCCCGAACCCGCCGGGACGGCGTGGCGCAAGCGACAGCTGGAAATTTGCCCATCGGTCGTTGAAAGTAGGTATTTTTGGATTTTCAGATTCCCACGTGGAAGGAGTGCCAGTGGTGTTACACATGTGAATCTCACCGTAGCGCCGCGCACGTGTGTCCTGCTTTGGTCCCGCAGCTGCCGCGGAGGGTGGGCCGGCGGTCTCCAAAAGGCAGGTCTCGTCTCAGTGCCGAGCGCACTTGACCCAAGCGTTTCTCGCAGCTTAGCTACACACCGGTCGCTGAAAGTAGGTACTTCTGGATTCCCCGATCCCCATCTGCTTCTGGCGCCTTCCCACTTCAGCGATCGAGTGGCTTCGCCTTCCCCGTCCTCCTCAGGGGGCGGACGGAGCCCAGTCTGCTTTTTCAACGCCTGCCGGCCTTCATGCCTCTGCCCTGCCTCCTCCGACCGGTGGGTAGGTTCGACCCCGCGCACCTGCGCCTTCCGACAGGACGTGTCGCTCTCAGCAGGGGGAAGCCACGACCTCTCCGGCGCGCGCTCGAGGAGGAGCCCCGCCTTCGTGCGGCGTCTGTCCACACGGGAGCCTCGGGCGGGCGGCCTTGTGAAGTCCGCGGTGCTTGCCTCTGGGCCGGCAGGTGGCCCTTCCTGCCGCGCCTCCTCGCCCTTCCTGTTCCCCCTCCTCCCTCCTCCCCCTCCCCCTCCTCCTCCTCCTCCTCCTCCTCCTCCTCCTCCTCCTCCCCCTCCTCCTCCTCCTCCCTCCTCTCCTCCTCCTCCTCCTCCTCCACCCCCTCCTCCTCCATCCTCCTCCTCCTCCTCCTCCTCCTCCTCCTCCCTCCTCCTCCTCCTCCTCCTCGCTCTCCTCGTCTCCCCGGGTGAGGAGCGGGCGAGGAGGAGCGGGGGCAGGGTGCGGAGGTGATTAGGGGCACCAGCACCGGGAGGCTCTGTGTTCGGCGCGGCCCCGCCCTCGGCGGAAGGCCAGCGGGAGGCTGGCGGAAGCAAAACGGCGGCGGGTGCGCCAGCGGAAGGCCAGCGGAGGTAATTTCGTAGGCGTCATCAAGTCGGGCGTGCACTTCTACAGGAGGAACAGTTCAAAATAGTAAAAAGTAGCCTGGTAACTTTTTTTGAATATGTTTGAGTATGTTTGGGGTATTGTTTGACTATTTTTGCTTTTCCGTCCAAGATCCGTTGGGAAGCCTCCGCTCCCCTCTGCTACCCCTCCTGCCTGTCTTTTGAAGGCCACCCCCACCTCGAGCCACCCAGTCGTTCGCGCACCGCCGATCGGGCTATCGGAAGGAGGGTCTGGTCTCGCGTGGAGATCGGGCTTTCTCCTCTTCTCCTTCGCACTACTAGAGTCTGGCACAAGTGCAAGGCGCTCTTGCGCAGGGGCGGTGGTGGGGGTCCAGCCCATAAACGAGCGATCCCCGGCAATTGCTTAGATCATGGAGGTGTAGGGGCACGCAGTGGAACAGAGAGGGGAGGCCGCCGTAAAACCGAAGCTCGGGGTGAGCGTGATCAGGCCCAGGAGTCCACCGTAGAGTCCTTCGCGGTTCGTTCGATCTGGGAGCCTCCTGGAGGTTGTTTGGGACCTTCTCGGAGCACTCTTGGGGCCGTTTTGAAAGTGTGTTGGGGGATCGCTTGGGCTATCGAGTAGCCTTCGGCCCATCCCGCCACCGTGCCTGGGTTGTGGGTGTGAAGCCTGTTGGATGTTCGCTGTGACCTCGTGAGGCCTCTCGGGGGCCTGCTGGGGGCCGTGTCGGGGCCTCTTGGCGTCTCTTTTGCGCCTCTCGGGGTCCTCGTGGTGCCTCTTGCGAGCCTCTTGGGGGCCTCGTGGGGTCTCCTCTTGGGGCCTCCCGGGGTCCTCTTGGGGCGGAGGGCTCAAATTTTCGGTTCGTGTTCCGTCTCTTGGGCCCCTTTTGGGGCCGTCTTGGGGCCCTCTTGGGCTGTGTTCGGCACATCTTGGGTCGTCTTGGGGCAATCTTGGGCCGTTTTGGGGCCCCCTTGGCGGCCTATTGGGCCGTGTTGGGGCAGTCTTGGGGGCCTCTAGGGCCGTCTGGGAGTCGGGAAGCCGAAAAGGCGAGAACGCCAAAAGTATTCGAAAACCGTAGGAGAATCGCTGAATTTGGCCTCTTGGGACCCTCTTGGGAGGCCTCTTGGAGGCCTCGTTGGGCGTCTTGGAGGCCTCTTGGGCCGTCCGTGGGGGCCATCTTGCGCGTCTTGGAGGCGCTCCTTCGGCGACTCGGGGCCCCTTGGACCGCCGTGGGGGGCCTCTCGGCGCCCTCTCTTGGCCCGTCTCTCGGGGGGCCCTCTTGGGACACGGCAAGTTACGCGACAGCACTTCCCGGAGCCCAGCTTGGGGCCCTCCTGGCCCGTCTTGGCGCCCTCCTGGCCCGTCTCTCGGGGGGCCCTCGTTGGGACGCGGCAGTGTATGCGCGACAGCGCACGTCCCCCGGAGCCCAGGGAGGGGGCCCGCGAGAGGAGCCCCTGCAGGGGGCACGCGCCAAGCCCCGGGAGAGCTTCGTGAGTTTGGGGTCTGGAGATGCTCTTAAGGCGTGAGGATGGACTTGGCATCGCTCGGACGTGTGCGTTTTTCCTCGGCGAGGACCATCGAGGACCATCCTGGACCATCGAGCAAAAAAAAACACGCACGAAACCGAAAAATGCACGGGAAATGGACGTCCGAGCGACGGCAAGTTGGGGTCCGGAGATTCTTTTTTAAGGCGTGAGGATTGAGGCGCAGAGGCCTGGCCCCAAAGCCTGAGCACACGCCCGCTCCGTGCCCAGAGTCAAGCAGCGGCGAAGCGTCTTGGCTCGCCTATAGCCCTACCAAACAATGTTCTAAGAACCTTTTGTGGCTTCCACGAAGTGTTCTTATAACACTTCTGGCGGAGATTGTCTTGTTTTAACATGGGGTTTATGTTCTAAGATCATTGTTCTTGCGCTTGGAACATTTGTGGGTTCTAAGAACATTTCGTGGTATGGCTATAGGAATACTGGGACGGTCGGTCCCTGCTCAAAAGAGGCACGGTGGCGGATGCTGGGTACCCTGGTGACCCTCCAGGAGGGGGAAAGACAAGCAGGCACGATGAATCAGCGATTCCCCCGGAAAAATAGGGGAAAAGATGGGGAGTGGGGGGGGCCATCCCGGGGGGGCATCGATCAAGCGGGCGGGGTCCCTAACCGGGGTAAGTGGAGCTCGAGCAGCCGCTTCTTGGAGCTCTAGGCGCACGGGGCCATCTCAGAGCCATCTTGGCCAACAGCATCCCGAGGATGCCCCAGCCAGTGTTTCTCAATGAACTGAGCTTTGGGCCCCCCCCCTGCCGGAGCCTGGTGGGTCGTCTCTTGGCTCTCTCTGGGGGGCGCTCTTGGATCCGTCTTGGACCCTTTACAGCCCAGACGCTGAAATAAGGAACGCCTCGGGTGCGGAAGGGGCTCGCTGTTCCTTAAGCTCGTCCATGGCTCCTCCTCCATCACTCCTCGCGCACCTAGGCGCGTCTGGGGCCAAGAAGGGGCTCCGCTCCTCGAGAGGGTGCCGCGGCCGTCGCTTTCCAGGTTTGCGCCCGCCAGGTTTGGGCCCGAGGTCGTCTTCACTAAACCACGTGTTACTAAAGGGGGTTCTGTCCATCCCCGATTATTGCTCCCCCGTTGGGGCTCTAGGGTTATGTCGGGCTTGTCCCCCTACAGGGGGATTTTCGACGAATAATAAAACATAGTTTAAAATACCCCAAGAAGGTCAGAAATGCCCAAAACATAGTCCCCAGACTATGTTTGGACTATGTTTTGATTATGTGTGGGTATGTTTTATTTTTCGTCCAACATCCCCCTGCAGGGGGACAGGCCCGACCTAACTCTAGGGGGCGGTCTTGGAGCCCTCCTGCGGCCTCTGAGAGGTCCGCCGGAGGCGGAGAGCGGCGAGGAGCCGCGGATATCTTGGAGCCGCGTGCCCGCTTTTTTGCGCGGCGTGGGCGCTGCCGGCGGCAGCTTTTCACTCCTCCTCCTCCTCCCCCTCCTCCTCCTCCTCCTCCTCCCTCCTCCTCCTCCTCCTCCTCTCCTCCTCCTCCTCCTCTCCTCCTCTCCTCCCTCTCCTCCTCCTCCTCCCCTCCTTTCCTGCTCCTCCTCCTCCTCCTCCTCCTCCCTCCTCCTGCTCCCCCTTCCCCCCCTCCTCCCCCTCCTCCCTCCTCCCTCCTCCTCCCTCCTCCTCCTCCCTCCTCCTCCCCTCCTCCTCCTCCTCCT